TGAGTATCCCCTTTTGTCCACCTAGACCCTGGATCTGATTCTTCTCACTGTGCCAGCCTGCAGCCAGACAGGAACCAGGTCTCCTTTTATATACTGACTTCCATAGTGCTAGGCTGGAAAGTGCCAGCAAAGTGAAGGAAGGAGGGCAGAGGCATTAGCATCCTCTAGGCATCTGTTTCACTGCCCAGCTCTCAGTTGCAGGTGAGGTTGAAGCCAGAAGACCTAATGAAGCAGAGAAGAACAGCTACACTCCTGACATAAAAGGCACGGCAAGCTTTCATCTTCTGAGAGGTTAAAAATAAACAGTTTAGCTTCAGCAAAGTGGTCTGATTAGAGGCAAAGAAAACTACACTGATTTCCATGGAAATGGAATATTTTGTTGCTGCTACTTGATCCCGTTGAAATGTATTAAGAACACAAAAGAGTGCAATTCCAATATCTGGAGAGTGCTGGCATATTTTAAAATCTTAAATTAAATTGATTTCTTTTAAAAGAAAGCTGGCTGATTTTAGTTTCTTAATTACTTCATTACCACTGGAAATGGAGTGTGCATTTGTAAGGCTATAGCAGGATATTATAGAAACAGCTGCAACCCATAACAGAAGAGATACAGACGTAGGCAATATCTCTACAGACAAATCAGGGACTTAAGATCCCCTATGCCCGTTATTTCCTCCCTAAAACCAACAAAGAACTGTTCCTTAGGTCATGAATCTTGATAAATTTAAACCAGATACTAGTTTCTATGGAAAAAGGATCAATCCCTAAATTTTGTTCACTTCTTTTAACGTGTAGGAATACTTCATATGGCCTGCCTACGCAAGCTTGGGAAGCAAAATAACTCAATTAGTTTGAGTTCTCATCTCATTACTGTGGTACATATCTCCATAGGGAGGTTTCTTTCAAATGAGCAGTGTCCTATTTCAGTTTAACCCATAGTAACAAAATAATCACTCAAAATAGGGCACCATTGTCATGACCTTCACTCTGATAAATACTAAAGGTAGGTGTGAACAAAATGCTGCTTTGCTAGCACAGTTATCATCTTTATAGACATACCCAAGGATGGGATCATCTCCAACATTTCCACACGTACCAATAAGACGTTGTCACAGCAAGGCCCAATTGAAATAAATTTTCTAACAAACAAATGCTAAAAAAAGCCCAAATCTGTGTTCTTGGTTAAAACAACACATTGTGTGATAGCGAGGAAAAAATGAACCAATTTCTCCTTCCATTTCCTCAAAGTGAAATTTCAACAGAAACAATAAACTCTTTAGGTTTTCACTTTAACAGTGTGACATTTTTTTGACAGAAATCTTATCTTACTGTAATTTTAGGTGACAGAGCAACTTGGGCTTCGAACCAAAAGGCTCCTGCACTTTGTATCTGTATACTATGTTTTCCTATGTGCTTGCAACTAGCACGTGCACTGGTTCCAGTGGTGAAGACCTGGGAAAGAAACTAGAGCCAGAAAAGACTTCCCCACAAACCACAGACATCATTATCCTGATTTAGAACAGCTTACCATTCCAGACTAGTCACATTAGGTATTGATCAGTATAAATAATCATTAATACTGTGGCTCAAGGGGCTTGGCTCTTCTCATATAATGGCCTCATGAAAGCAATTCTTTGCATTACGCTGAAGACCTATTTTGGCTAAGGTTTGCTATACATTTAACATGAAAGATTGTCCATGAAAACAATGGAGGCACTGAAATACATAATTTGTGGTGCCTGCTAATTTTCATAGCCCTGACCCAGGTCCCAGAACTCCTCATTGAATGTATGGGGAAAACCACAACAGACGGCATGTATGGCAGATACTCAGTGCGAAACACTGATGTGGAGAGTGGATATAAGTCCCATTCCTGTATGTGAACATACATGGCTAATGGGAAAGCAGACAGAGGCTATTAAGTGAAGAGCCTGGTAAGTACAGGAGATGGGGGAATTATTTGCAAACAACAACCTGGGTAAGGGTGTACCAACCCTCTTATGGCCATTACACTCCTCCTTTTTTAGCTATTTGCTGATGATTCTCTGTTCTCAAATAGGCTAATACTGCACTTTCATAGGCTGGGTCAGCTAAAAGCTCCTCAGTGTTTGGTACCTGCAGCCACATGGATTCTCTGTGCAAACTTACTTGCATTAAGGAATGGATTTAAGAGCAGCAGATCAATGCTCCGGAGAGTTGTTAGGGTGGAATACAGAGACCTCATCCAGAGATGAAAGGAAGAACAGCATGCAATAATGACAGAAAAGGAACTCATCAGCTGTATTTTCATTCATTGTGCTGCACCTGGCAAAAAAAAACCCAACCAAACAATCCCAAAATAAAAAAATTGATGTATTCAGTTCCCCACTTTAGTAGTTTTGCTTTTAACAATACCTGAATGTGTATTCAATCAGCAGATCCTAAGTGAAGTGCTTTTTGGACACCTGGTGTTTTCGACTGTGTATGTATTCTTCAGTTCCTGGCCAAATACATTTCTGCTTCACTGCCTGCAGGAAGATCACCTGAGGAGAGCAGAGCAGAGCCTGCCAGCCCCACATGTCCCCTAAACAAAGCTATAGGTATGCATCAGCAAATTCTATATACAGTCCTTCTTTGTGCATTAGTTTGCCCTTTATATCACCTGTTCAGATGACGCTGCTAGTGTGGGCTTTGCCATCCCTTGTGCTATCCACTTCATGCAGCTTAACCAAGCCTGCTGGTTGCTCCTGTGCAGTTGGACATCCTCATTTCAGTGTTATAACCAAACTGGAAGTCATTGCCATTCGGATGTTGCTAAACAGGAGCCTCCTTGCAACTTTAAACACATAGGCAGGAGAATTGTAATGAGGGATTGACATGTAACCTCCAGCACATACACCCAGCTCAAGCAGCAAACCATTCCTTTGTTATGTTGGGTTTCCCTTACAACCTAACCCTGTTTGAAATAAGCCCATACTTCTTCCTTCCAAAGTAATGATAATTGATTTAGACCATCCGGAAATGAATTCAAGCTCAATAAAGGCTGTGGCCTGATGAAGAGGTGCACCTTTGCTGTGCAGAGGAATCCAGCTTGCTTAGGAACCTGCGAAAGCCACAGATCTGCAGGTGGGAGGTTAATTTCCAGCAGCCTGATTCAGCAGTAAAGGAACACATACTAAATCCTCCTCAAACCTTCCAGACATAAGCACTTCACAGCACTGGGAGCAGATTAGCTCATTATGGGCTCTTTTTAAACAGAAATCTCAAATCCAACTGTTTTGCCCAAATCAGTCTGTTTTTTACTAGCTATACGTAGGACAGAGCTATTTACATGCCTAATTAGTTTAGCTGGGGGACCAGCAGGGTTTTGGGGTTGCTCAGACATGGGCAGCACCAGCATGGTTCAACAGGAGTTTGCAGCTCCCCCGCTCCCTCCTTCCTATCCCTGGGGCTGGAAGGGACTGAGTGATGGATCTGCTGGGACATTGGGCAAGACTGGCTTTTCCCCTGCCTTTCCTTCAAGTGTTAGGAAGGTAGGAGGAAAAGGGCTTCTCTTAGCTGTGAGCAGTCTGTCCCTGCCACAATTACTGCTTTTAGGCCACCTTCTCTGAAGTAGGAGAGAATTGGCTTCCTATTTCTTACCAAATGAAGAAAACCTACAAACAAGCAGTATTTGGGTCAGCAGGATTGCATTTATAAGCCATAAATCAAATCCAACCGACCTTGAACACTTATTAGTATCTTACAGACCACAGCTTTAAAAGTCCTGTGAATCCTAATGCTGAACTGCTGGATTTTGTTTCTGCAGCATGTAGAAGGCTAATCAGGAAACTCCCCTGAAGGGGTCTGTCATCCACCACAGTGATGCGCAGTGTGCTGACACATCCAGGAGCAAACAGCACATGCAGCATTTTGTTCACAAAATCCCAGCCTCTGTCACATAAAGCTGTACAAATGATTGCATTGAGTTGCTGCTGTATTCCCTGGGTGCGGGACTTCTGGCCTCCTGCATGTAAAGCTGGCTTCATGTCTTACATCTCTGTTTTGTCCTCATTACATGTGGGCATTTTGCTTTACTGGCTGTATTATCCTTCTCTTTGAATCCCTCAGTTCTCTCATGTGATGCTTTCTGCCACTCGTAAAGATGAAGCCTGGTGAGTATCTTTTCATTTAGAGCAAGAAGGAGGTGATCCTGCCCTTCTACTCTGCTCTCCTGAGACCTCACCTGGAGTATTTTGTGCAGTTCTGGTGTCCTCAACATAAAAAGGACATGGAACTGTTGGAACAAGTCCAGAGGAGGGCCACGAGGATGGTCAGGGGACAGGAGCACCTCCTGTATGAAGATAGGCTGAAAAAGTAGGGGCTGTTCAGCCTGGAGAAGAGAAGGCTGCGTGGAGACCTCATAGCAGCCTTCCAGTATCTGAAGGGGGCCTGTAGGGATGCTGGGGATGGACTCTTCATTAGGGACTGCAGTGATAGGATAAGGGGGAATGGGTTAAAACTTAAACAGGGGAAGTTTAGATTGGATATAAGGAGGAAGTTCTTTACTGTAAGGGTAGTGAGGCACTGGAATGGGTTGCCCAGGGAGGTTGTGAATGCTCCATCCCTGGCAGTGTTCAAGGCCAGGTTGGACAGAGCCTTGGGTGAGGCGGTTTTGTGTGAGGTGTCCCTGCCCATGGCAGGGGGTTGGAACTGGATGATCTTAAGGTCCTTTCCAACCCTAACCATTCTATTATTCTATGATTCCTGCACATGATCAGAGTTTCAAAACAGAAATAAATTGAGCTTCTTCGTGAGAGACAAAACAGCCTCCATGTGTGGGAAATAACAATTCTCATCAACAAAAGGATGAGAAACTGGTCATCCTCCCTTAAAAGGTAGTGAAGTGTTTGTCCTTTGGTTAGCAGAGGAAGAGAATGGCTTGAAACACATTACTGGTAAATCCACTAACATAAACTTCCCACAGAAATCCACTACCACATAATGCTTACATTCAGGAGTAAATATTACTCAAAAATTACAGTGTGCTCATATGCATAATGTTTTGCACAGTTTGCATGTGCTTGAGTTTCTCCTATTTGAAGACAGGCAAATCATGACCTGCAGATCTTTCCTTTCCACGTTACACTTCACCTTCTGCACAGCACTATTTCTGTCTGGGTTCTTGTCGGTGCACACTGTTTTAAAGAGAACAGTAATTGCTACCTAAATGAAAAAGGAAAACAAAAAAGGGCACAATTATTTGCCCTTAAAGGAAAAAGAATTATGAAATCTGACCAATTTCTTCCTTTGAAGGAGCTTCTCAGCTGATGCTGCTTTCCTTTCGCAGTGAATCTGTTCTGATGTGCCTGCATGATCCATCCCCAGCTGTTCACTGCTGCTTCTACAGAGATTATGTCACTGATAGCTACACCGTGTGCAAAAGCAGCACAGCTCTGGGTACAGGCAGGTAGGGCTGCAATTCCCTCCATCACTGCAGCAATGAACCTCACTTTTCCAGCTGTTCATTCACTATTACAGGGAGGGACAGAGATGACTCTTGTGAGAGCTTTCCTGTGTCTGCCTGATGATCAAAAGAGGGATTTGTAGCTGCCTGGGGTTCATGAGGATGCTGGGCTGCAGTGAGAAACAGCCTGGCCAAGCTACAGGTAAGGGAAATGTGTTTATTTAGCCATCCACAACTTGAAAACATTGAGCCTGTTGAGAAAGGGCAAGTGCACATTCAGTAATCTCCCCAGTCAGGAGCAAGATCCACTTCCAAAACACATAACAAAGAGGAAGATTTTGCTCTTGGGAGGTACCTAGAAAGGAATAAAACATTCCTGTTTTACACTGCCTAAAATATCCATGAGATGCACAGAGATCAAGTAACAGAAGCAGCGTGTGATGGAGAGACAGGCAGAGGAAAATACACTGAAAACCCAGCACCCTTCCAAATGAACATGTATAGAAAATGGGCAGCTCAGCCTTCACAGCCTTTCCCCATGGTGTAACACAGCAGTGGGTCAGAAATATGAGCCTGTTCGGGGACATCAACCAGCATGTTTAAAATAATGGAAAAACAGGGATGGAAAAAGGCCCCTGCTATGCTCTATAGAAGAACATGCAGGATAATAGCAAATATGGCCCAACTGTGGATGGCAAGAACAAGAAAGGGCAATATCCCCTTGCTTTCCTGCTGGTGGCTCAGCAGCTGGGGAGCTGGAAAGGTTTGGGAGGGCAGAAAGTGGATCCCAAGGGATCCCTCAGGAAATCATCACATCTGCCTTCTTGGAAGAGGAAAGTGAAATTAGATCATTTAGGCCTTAATATATGATTGCCTTTCCCGATAGTAAGTCTAACGGAAGTTACACTGGGTTTTTCACTGACAGTATGAGGTCAAAGTCGACTGTGTCCCTGCTCTAGATAAACTTCTGTTATCAGCAAAAAAGTAAACACCAACCTCTCAAAGGGAGCTTCCAAGGAGTCCTACATCCCTCAAAGCACAGCTGGAAAACTGGGCTTGGAAAGGCTACATATTTTGGGCATTGCAGATCATTTAGCTGAGCTATGGTTGAGGCTGCAAGTAAAGGGGGCTGGTGGTATGAGAGTGGCAGGTTGTGGAGCACATGTGATGGCAGAAACATGCTGAAATACCAACTCTGCTGCCTCTAATTGCATAAGCGACTTCTCAAAAGGATGGGGAGAAATATCGCAGGAAATTGGCTGTCTGAGGTTACCAAGATAATAAGTATTTTCAGAAATCTGCACCAGTGCCAGAAAATAAAGTGGAAAACCTCCTCCATGGAAACTAGAGAAGGCAGAATCAGGAATGCTGGAGCAGGGAGAAAATAGAGCAATGAGAAAGCCAGATAAATGGTAAGGGAAGAATCCTTTCATAGGACAATGTACTGTGGGGAACGTGAAAAAGAAGTTGGCTCTTGGAAGAGAGGAATCCCACCCAAAGCTGCTTTTCTGAGGAAGGGGATTATCTTGGCTTGGTTCCCTACCGCTTGTAAAGGCACAAGGGAATTTAATTAAGCATTGCTACTTTCCTAATTGTTGAGGCTATCCCCAGAGGCCTCAAAGGCTTTCCAGGCTCTGCAGTGTTGGTCTGGAGATGGGATTTCTCAATTAACAGTAAGATATGGCAAGCAGTGAGGTCTGGGACTCAGTGCCTTGGTCAAACAGCAGCTCCATGACTGATGTGGTTCTGCTGAGATGGAGCCAGCTGAGGGATTTATTTTGCTTATTCTGCTCCTGCAAATTCACATGGAGTTTTCCATAGGGTATGAGCACAGCCTTTGCTTGCCCTGTGCCACAGACCATCCTGCAGTGCTGTTGGGTGTTCTGCCCTGCAGGGACCACATTTCACAGGCTATGCATCCCTTATATCTCAGCCTGTAAGTGGGAGGATGCATCAGCCAGCTCATAGGTTAACAGCTTTCAGCTCCTCTGATGGAAAAGCCAAATTACTATTAATTAAAACCGGTTTGGCACTGAAAGCAGGTTTATGATCTATTCACAATGCAATACTTGCTGAAATTTGGGGCACCGCTGGTCTGTTCCTGAGTCTTGCAAGTGTACATCTCAATACATAAAAGACACCTGATTTTTCACAGGTGTGACTCCCAATTGAAGCAAGTTGACAGAGTAAGTGCTCAGAGCTTTCAGGGCTTGTTAAAACAGTCCAGCCTTGAAATTACATAAAGAAGGGGAAATGAAAAAACAATTAAAGCCCCTTTAGCCTCGTTGCAAGCTTTTGCATTTTTCTATTCAGAAGTTCAGCCAAGTGAGCAATACAAAGTGACCACAGATCAGGGATGAGCAGAATAATAATACATCCTTATGCAAGATGCAAGGCTTAGCCTCCTTCTCCAGCCTCCTCAGCTCCAACTGGCTTTCTGACTCTCAGATATTGTCAACAGAACTGTCAGCTTCTGGGTTTCAGATAAGAAACAAAGGATTCATGCTGAGGTTTTCATCACATCTGATGCCTTCTGCCATAGCAATGACTCTCCTTTAGCAGCATATCAGCCCAGGGGACATGGCTAAGCATAGAGATGTCCTACTGTACAACTAAGTGGGGTAAGCAGTCTATTTGAGTTCAGGCACCTCACACTGAGGGGGGCTGTTACCCAAACCACTTAATAGTGGTGTTTTGGGTAACATAGGATGTGATAAGGTACCTGAACCCAGCAGCAAGCTCAGAACAGAGGAGGGGGTCACTGAGATTTGTGTGGCAGCTGATGCTTATGTGTAAAATGTGTCTCAGACGTGTGTTCTTCATCCAAGTGAGGCTGGTGGGATGACATGGACATACTCTGGATGCTGCATCCCACACTACTGGTACTGCTCAAAGGCAGAAACACTAACACTACCCAACAAGACCACTGCAGGGTCTCCGACTTCAGTGCAATCTCACTAGTGGGTATCAGCTTTCGTAAACCAATGGGCTATTCTTGCTGAGCCCTCCTCTACCTCATTCCTCCTCCAAAATGACCCAACAACCTGAAGCAAACATTTGGAACTGAAATGTCTGTTTGAACAGTAAACTTGTTACAAGATGAATGATAAGGGATGGAGAGCATTAGATACAGGTATCATTACAAACCCTTCCAATAACAACAGATTCAGACCAGTGTATCACGTCTTACACATGTACCTATATTAATAGCTTGGACCTCTTCTAGGATTTGGCAGGAGATCTAAAGTTATCTCAGTATCTTTTTGTTGCCTTGTCAATACCCCCCCCCCCCCAATAACCATTAAGCAAGGTCTTAAGCTGTCATGAATTCTTACTAGATATACTGTAATTGCTATTGCAAAAGGAGCAAAGTGCAGAGACTACAACTGTAGAAAAATGAAAGGGAAGCTGTTCTGGAGATTTAAAGCAAACAATACCCGCGTTATGTCTTCACCCCTCCACATGGCTCATGCCCGAATGGCCTTCCACTACTGCTTTGGTTTTGCTTTTATTAGATCTGAGTAACTTATTGATTTTTTTATGGCATGACGTGATGAAATCTGAGCTGACGTTACATATCACTAATGTACAACCTCCTTGAGCCAACAGCAATTCTGTCTGCTGTGGCTCTGCACGGGCAGGGGTTCGGTTGGGGGACCCTTCCCTTTAGCTCTGTCACAACCCCTTGAGTTTTCAGGACACTTCTAAATAAATCAGACATTCACAGTTCAAGCAGTGAGCCAGATTCTGAAGGGTTTCTCCTCTCCTGTGAAAAGCAATTTTTACTGGAATGGTGTTTCAATCAAAACTGATCAAGGATGACCTGATCCAGTCCTTTAATATCAGTAGAGCAGATATAAAGTCTGTTCAGAGTGCACTGGCTCTTTTCCAGAGTCTGGAAGCATGCTACAGCCTGTGAACTCACCCCCCCCCATGGCTACACTCATGCCCCTACCTTTGGCTTCATTTGGGACTGAGCTTCTCCACATGAACCCAAAAGCCAGTGGCTTTTTTCAGCACAATAACCTGACTTACAGACACTGCTTAGTGGGAAGACCATATGCATGGTGTACCTTAGCTGGCTGTCCTTCTTTCCTAACTCTTACTTCTCAGCTTTCCAGGGTAGCACAGGCTAACCTGCAGAACTAGGGTCATGGTCTTTCATCCCTTCTGGACTCCTCCATTTTGGGCAAGAAAGGAATACAACTTGGGACTTCTTGGAAAAGAGTTTGCTGCTGTGACAAACCCTCCCAGCTCCTGAGGGGGAGGCTGAGCTTCCCAGAGCCCACCCATGAGGACAAACCCACCCCAAGGGCAATTTTGGCACATTAGTGTTACCACAGGACTGGGCTACACTGGCAGCTCATTGGCAACTGCAAGTAACTTCCTTGGAAGGATGTCAGCCCAGGACCAGAAATCACAAATAGATTTCCGTATGTTGTCAGGATTAATTTCATTTATCAGCATCTGCAGCAATGTGCATTTGAGCTCGCTTATCCGACGAACTAGGTAGAAAAAGCTATCATTGTACAAATATAGGACAGGTTAGCCCATGAACATCCCTAATTACTGTTATTATGATGTTTTACTGAATCTGTGGACTCCCACACTTCCCTGTAGCCCACCCAAATTCTATTATCTGAGGTACTTTTCCCACACAGCATCTGCCAGTTCATCCCTAATAATGCACAAAGGTTTTAGCTTGACAGCACCCCCTTCCTTCATTTTCATGGCTCAGAATATGATGCAAAGCAAACCGAAGCCTTCTCCTGCTTCTGAAG